ATTGATGTACCTTCAGGTAACATAGTCTGTGGAGAGTCCGGGTTAGAGGTGGTCCAAGTATTGATGTACCTTCAGGTAACATAGTCTGTGGAGAGTCTGGGTTAGAGCTGGTCCAAGTATTGATGTACCTTCAGGTAACATAGTCTGTGGAGAGTCTGGGTTAGAGCTGGTCCAAGTATTGATGTACCTTCAGGTAACATAATCTGTGGAGAGTCCGGGTTAGAGCTGGTCCAAGTATTGATGTACCTTCAGGTAACATAATCTGTGGAGAGTCCGGGTTAGAGCTGGTCCAAGTATTGATGTACCTTCAGGTAACATAGTCTGTGGAGAGTCCGGGTTAGAGCTGGTCCAAGTATTGATGTACCTTCAGTTAACATAGTCTGTGGAAAGTCTGGGTTAGAGCTGGTCCAAGTATTGATGTACCTTCAGGTAACATAGTCTGTGGCGAGTCTGGGTTAGAGCTGGTCCAAGTATTGATGTACCTTCATGTAACATAGTCTGTGGAGAGTCTGGGTTAGAACTGGTCCAAGTATTGATGTACCTTCAGTTAACATAGTCTCTGGAAAGTCTGGGTTAGAGCTGGTCCAAGTATTGATGTACCTTCATGTAACATAGTCTGTGGAGAGTCTGGGTTAGAACTGGTCCAAGTATTGATGTACCTTCAGTTAACATAGTCTCTGGAAAGTCTGGGTTAGAGCTGGTCCAAGTATTGATGTACCTTCAGGTAACATAGTCTGTGGAGAGTCTGGTTTAGAGCTGGTCCAAGTATTGATGTACCTTCAGATAACATAGTCTGTGGGAAGTCTGGGTTAGAGCCGGTCCAAGTATTGATGTACCTTCAGGTAACATAGTCTGTGGCGAGTCTGGGTTAGAGCTGGTCCAAGTATTGATGTACCTTCAGGTAACATAGTCTGTGGAGAGTCTGGTTTAGAGCTGGTCCAAGTATTGATGTACCTTCAGGTAACATAGTCTGTGGAGAGTCTGGGTCAGAGCTGGTCCAAGTATTGATGTACCTTCAGATAACATAGTCTGTGGAGAGTCTGGGTTAGAGCTGGTCCAAGTATTGATGTACCTTCAGGTAACATAGTCTGTGGAGAGTCTGGGTAAGAGCTGGTCCAAGTATTGATGTACCTTCAGATAACATAGTCTGTGGAGAGTCTGGGTTAGAGCCGGTCCAAGTATTGATGTACCTTCAGGTAACATAGTCTGTGGCGAGTCTGGGTTAGAGCTGGTCCAAGTATTGATGTACCTTCAGGTAACATAGTCTGTAGAGAGTCTGGGTTAGAGCTGGTCCAAGTATTGATGTACCTTCAGGTAACATAGTCTGGTGAGAGTCTGGGTAAGAGCTGGTCCAAGTATTGATGTACCTTCAGGTAACATAGTCTGTGGAGAGTCTGTGTTAGAGCTGGTCCAAGTATTGATGTACCTTCAGGTAACATAGTCTGTGGGGAGTCTGGGTTAGAGCTGGTCCAAGTATTGATGTACCTTCATGTAACATAGTCTGTGGAGAGTCTGGGTTAGAGCTGGTCCAAGTATTGATGTACCTTCAGGTAACATAGTCTGTTGGGTGTCTGGGTTAGAGCTGGTCCAAGTATTGATGTACCTTCAGGTAACATAGTCTGTGGAGAGTCTGGGTTAGAGCTGGTCCAAGTATTGATGTACCTTCAGGTAACATAGTCTGTGGGCAGTCTGGGTTAGAGCTGGTCCAAGTATTGATGTACCTTCAGGTAACATAGTCTGTAGAGAGTCTGGGTTAGAGCTGGTCCAAGTATTGATGTACCTTCAGGTAACATAGTCTGTGGAGAGTCTGGGTTAGAGCTGGTCCAAGTATTGATGTACCTTTAGGTAACATAGTCTGTGGAGAGTCTGTGTTAGAGCTGGTCCAAGTATTGATGTACCTTCAGGTAACATAGTCTGTGGGAAGTCTGGGTTAGAGCCGGTCCAAGTATTGATGTACCTTCAGGTAACATTGTCTGTGGAGAGTCTGTGTTAGAGCTGGTCCAAGTATTGATGTACCTCCAGGTAACATAGTCTGTGGGAAGTCTGGGTTAGAGCCGGTCCAAGTATTGATGTACCTTCAGGTAATATAGTCTGTGGAGAGTCTGGGTTAGAGCTGGTCCAAGTATTGATGTCCCTTCAGGTAACATAGTCTGTGAAGAGTCTGGGTTAGAGGTGGTCCAAGTATTGATGTACCTTCAGGTAACATAGTCTGTGGAGAGTCTGGGTTAGAGCTGGTCCAAGTATTGATGTACCTTCAGCTAACATAGTCTGTGGAGAGTCTGGGTTAGAGCTGGTCCAAGTATTGATGTACCTTCAGGTAACTTAGTCTGTAGAGAGTCTGGGTTAGAGCTGGTCCAAGTATTGATGTACCTTCAGGTAACATAGTCTGTGGAGAGTCTGTGTTAGAGCTGGTCCAAGTATTGATGTACCTTCAGGTAACATAGTCTGTAGAGAGTCTGGGTTAGAGCTGGTCCAAGTATTGATGTACCTTCAGGTAACATAGTCTGTGGAGAGTCTTGGTTAGAGCTGGTCCAAGTATTGATGTACCTTCAGTTAACATAGTCTCTGGAAAGTCTGGGTTAGAGCTGGTCCAAGTATTGATGTACCTTCAGGTAACATAGTCTGTGGAGAGTCCGGGTTAGAGCTGGTCCAAGTATTGATGTACCTTCAGGTAACATAGTCTGTGGAGAGTCTGTGTTAGAGCTGGTCCATGTATTGATGTACCTCCAGGTAACATAGTCTGTGGAGAGTCTTGGTTAGAGCTGGTCCAAGTATTGATGTACCTTCAGGTAACATAGTATGTGGAGAGTCTGGGTTAGAGCTGGTCCAAGTATTGATGTACCTTCAGTTAACATAGTCTGTGGAGAGTCTGGGTTAGAGCTGGTCCAAGTATTGATGTACCTTCAGGTAACATAATCTGTCGAGAGTCCGGGTTAGAGCTGGTCCAAGTATTGATGTACCTTCAGGTAACATAATCTGTGGAGAGTCCGGGTTAGAGCTGGTCCAAGTATTGATGTACCTTCAGGTAACATAGTCTGTGGAGAGTCCGGGTTAGAGCTGGTCCAAGTATTGATGTACCTTCAGGTAACATAGTCTGTGGAGAGTCTGGGTTAGAGCCGGTCCAAGTATTGATGTACCTTCAGGTTACATAGTCTGTGGGAAGTCCGGGTTAGAGCTGGTCCAAGTATTGATGTACCTTCAGTTAACATAGTCTGTGGAAAGTCTGGGTTAGAGCTGGTCCAAGTATTGATGTACCTTCAGGTAACATAGTCTGTGGAGAGTCTGGGTTAGAGCTGGTCCAAGTATTGATGTACCTTCATGTAACATAGTCTGTGGAGAGTCTGGGTTAGAACTGGTCCAAGTATTGATGTACCTTCAGTTAACATAGTCTCTGGAAAGTCTGGGTTAGAGCTGGTCCAAGTATTGATGTACCTTCAGGTAACATAGTCTGTGGAGAGTCTGGGTTAGAGCTGGTCCAAGTATTGATGTACCTTCAGGTAACATAGTCTGTGAAGAGTCTGGGTTAGGGATGGTCCAAGTATTGATGTACCTTCAGCTAACATAGTCTGTTGGGTGTCTGGGTTAGAGGTGGTCCAAGTATTGATGTACCTTCAGGTAACATAGTCTGTGGAGAGTCTGGGGTAGAGCTGGTCCAAGTATTGATGTACCTTCAGGTAACATAGTCTATGGAAAGTCTGGGTTAGAGGTGGTCCAAGTATTGATGTACCTTCAGGTAACATAGTCTGTGGAGAGTCTGGGGTAGAGCTGGTCCAAGTATTGATGTACCTTCAGGTAACATAGTCTGTTGGGTGTCTGGGTTAGAGGTGGTCCAAGTATTGATGTACCTTCAGGTAACATAGTCTGTGGAGAGTCTGGGGTAGAGCTGGTCCAAGTATTGATGTACCTTCAGGTAACATAGTCTGTGGGGAGTCTGGGTTAGAGCTGGTCCAAGTATTGATGTACCTTCAGGTAACATAGTCTATGGAAAGTCTGGGTTAGAGGTGGTCCAAGTATTGATGTACCTTCAGGTAACATAGTCTGTGGAGAGTCTGGGGTAGAGCTGGTCCAAGTATTGATGTACCTTCAGGTAACATAGTCTGTGGGGTGTCTGGGTTAGAGGTGGTCCAAGTATTGATGTACCTTCAGGTAACATAGTCTGTGGAGAGTCTGGGGTAGAGCTGGTCCAAGTATTGATGTACCTTCAGGTAACATAGTCTGTGGAAAGTCTGGGTTAGAGCTGGTCCAAGTATTGATGTACCTTCAGGTAACATAGCCTGGGGAGCTTTTGGCTTAGAGTTGGTCCCAAAGAACTTATTCATGACTAAATGATTGGGGGACATGGTTGAATGCATGTCATCGGACCCAGACAGTGTGTGATGTTGCCCACAATATCAATCACTTGTTTGTCTCATCCAGACTTGATTAATTACAAGCCAGCATCATTGGTGTTCAACCAGATTGTGTGAATTGTTAATTTAAATTTTTAATTTTAATTTTGTAGATCAGTTATAATATCGTGTGTTTGATAAATGCTTTGTTTGCCAGACCCTCACAGATTTCCGCAGAGTTGTGGGCAGCGTTATGGCCCTTAGGTGTTCGAGGATCTGATGGTCAAATAAACACCACGCCCATAGTCATGAGTGTCATCAATGTGAAAACGTCTACTACCTGCCTCACTTTAGGCGTTTGTCTCACTGTAAGCAGGGGGCATGGCTGGCCCAGTCGTCTAAGGCGCCGCGATTCGTAGTGCAGAGTTTCGTCCCTTGGACACGCCAGAAACCTATGATTGTGGGTTCGAATCCCGGTTCGCCCCGATTATGTTTCTAGGTTTGTCAGCACCATACCATGCTCGTGGGTTTCAACAAAGTGGTAAACGTCCTAGACCTGCATCACTTGGGGCTTTCCTCCCACATTAAGCTGACACGCCGTGTATATTTATATAACTGGAATAATGTTAACAGCGGCAAAACCCAACTCACTCCATCACTCACTATTTTCAGGATGGGATGTAGAAAGCGGCGACACTGACGGCATCCACCCAGAGCTGCTCATCTCGCTGACGGCACCCAAACTGTGTGCCCGCCACTTCAGGGGCAAACACCACTACCTGGGCGGCCGCTTCGTGCCGAAGACGCTGGAACAACGCTACAGTCTCAATCTTCCTGCCTACCCAGGCACAGAGTGTGTGATAGAACTGAAAACACAGACCACGGAACCTGCAGAAAGTTCCAAGTGATTCTCTCCGCTGCCATCAATTCACCTCCTGCTGTTTGTTGATAGCTTGAAATGTGTATATCATCTCTGTCCTTTCCAAACAATGTATAGAGAAAAGGTTTGGTGTAGATTTGTTGTGCATCGGTTGAAGTTATTTTAAAGGTTGGTTTAGTTGGGTTAATTCTGCTTTCAGCTTTAGTTATATCATGCTTGTCAGTTTAGAGGTAGTCATCAAGCCATACTAAAAGACTTGAAGAATTAAAGTCACATGTGACCTGAATGTCACAATGGAGTTCTGTTTTTGCTCACACAACAGCACAACATCTTGATTAAACGCATCTCTCAAAATAACAATTAAATTTAGTAAACATTGTGTAGTGTATGTTTATTTTTTACACCCAAGCTGTCAGTGAAATGGCTGCTCGATGCACCATTATTGTGGGAGAATAAAAAAGTGATGCTGTTTTTTTTAAAGATTTTAAGATGCGGATGCGAATCCAGGTTGTTTTGTAATACTACTGAGTCTCTCAACGTAATACTATTATATACACCTTGAAAAAAGTTAAGCACCACTTCTTTCTTTTTTATGTATTCGTGACTTCCATGTATCAATTTGAACGACCTACATATGACATTGAGTCATTTTTAGAAATGTCTTAGATACCATTGATACCTTGGTACAAGAACACAGTACGTTCCTCCAGACGCTACAAGAACACTGTACGTTCCTCCAGACGCTACAAGAACACTACGTTCCTCCAGACATTACAAGAACACTGTACGTTGCTCCAGACATTACAAGAACACCGTACGTTCCTCCAGACGCTACAAGAACACTACATTCCTCCAGTCGCTACAAGAACACAGTACATTCCTCCAGACGCTACAAGAACACTGTACGTTCCTCCAGACGTTGCAAGAACACTGTATATTCCTCCAGACATTACAAGAACATTACGTTCCTCCAGACATTACAAGAACACTACGTTCCTCCAGACGCTACAAGAACACTGTACGTTCCTCCAGATGTTACAAGAACACTGTATGTTCCTCCAGACATTACAAGAACATTACATTCCTCCAGACACTACAAGAACACTGTACGTTCCTCCAGACATTACAAGAACACTGTATGTTTCTCCAGACGCTACAAGAACACTTTGTTCCCCCAGACATTACAAGAACACTACCTTCCTCCAGACACTACAAGAACACTGTACGTTCCTCCAGACCCTACAAGAACACTGTACGTTCCTCCAGACATTACAAGAACATTACATTCCTCCAGACACTACAAGAACACTGTACGTTCCTCCAGACCCTACAAGAACACTGTACGTTCCTCCAGACACTACAAGAACACTGTACGTTGCTCCAGACATTACAAGAACACTATGTTCCTCCATACGTTACAAGAAAACTACGTTCCTCCAGACGTTACAAGAACACTGTACATTCCTCTAGACTGTTGGCTTCCAAAATTTTGTTAGGACTAAAGATTATCAAATGCCCCTAGCTGAAATTTTATCTGAATTTTGTTATGCACACCTCTTAGTTGATCAAAGTAATGAAAAATCATCCTGCTTCTTTTGATCACTGAACCAAATGCTTCTTAGTCTGTTAAGACTTATTATGATGATGATGATGATGATGTATTAAGCTTCATCAGCTTATGTATATGACATCTCTGCGCTAAAGTGCATGTTTTTGGATAACATTTTATATTCTTTTTGTACTTCTCAGCTCTCTGTAACAGCTTACAGTTGTATTTTGGACGTTTTATATTCTGTTGTTAGTTCTCGATTCTGTGTCACAGTCAACCATTTGTATTTTAGATGTCTTATGTTTCATTACTTGGTTTACGGACCCATCAACCCTAAGAGTCAGAAATGAGGAAAAAATAACTCTAGATTTTTTTAACTATCACGGAGCCTGTTAATCTCCATTATTTTAGTGAGTAATATATCGGACTAGTTGTTTCATCTTCCAGAGGCAAGGGAGTTAACTCACTACAAAAGTCCAGTTTCCACCCTTGCCAAACTAGGCTGCAATTTCGGAGTCATATTTTGGCTGGACTGATGAATCTATGTTTAGTCCAATCAAAATCACGTGATGAAATCAACATTTGGTTCGTATACTGCCGTGCAGATTTAGGTTGAGTGCAAAAATAATATATTTCATTTTCACATCCTACTGACTCTATTGTTATTAATTCTATTTTGACCATCAAGACCATCCAAGAAAAATCAGGGGGCACATGTGGCCCAGTCGTCTAAGGCGCCGCTATTCACTGTGCAGAGTTGCGTCCCTTGGGCACGCCAGAAACCTGTGGTTGTGGGTTTGAATCCCGGTTCGCCCCGATTATGTTTCTAGGTTTGTCAGCACCACACCATGCTCGTGGGTTTCACCGAAGTGGTAAACATCTGAGACCTACACCATTGCAGGCTTTCCTCCCACATAAAGCTGACACGCCGCCATATAACTGGAATACTGTTAAAAGCGGTGGTAAACCCAACTCACTCACTCCAAGAAAATTCCGTAAACCAACGAATGAAAGAAATCCTGTACTTTTGAACTGTGTCTGTACAGTGTTTTTAGGTGTTGTTCTGTAAATTTATCTTTGAAAATTGATGTGAGTGAAATACCAGTAATAAATCTTGTCAATATCCGGTTCCAACTGTTGGTGATCATGTGACACAGGACACGCCTTAATTACAAAATGGCCTTCATTCCGTAGCTGACTTGGGAAAACCTGCTTAGACATGTTTCAACCTGTCTGCATACTGCAGAACTCCTCCTGTCTGCATACTGCAGAACTCCTCCTGTCTGCATACTGCAGAACTCCTATTACTCTTATTCTGTGTCCATACCGAGCTGGTGATCAGATAATGTAGCTTTCATGTTCTTATTGTGATGTCACCATGACATGAGTTTGACAGCAGCCATTTTGTTCTTTAACGTGTCCTTTGTCGCATGATCACCGAATTGAGTGGAAAATTCAGAACTGACTTCGGGAAAATAATTTGCTGTTGAATGTAATGGTAATTATTGTAATCACTGTTTATGTTGAGTGTGACCAATCAAGGAATTTTGGACATATTGCAATAATCTGTAGTCAAGATCCTTGTAGGTGTCGTGAGACTCAGTCGATACAAAATGGTATATTAGTGTCACATATATATATATCACGACATTAGTATAAAGATGCATTTTTGTCACATTGAGTGCTGTATCTTTCTCTTACTAATAATCAAGCTGTTGGACAAGTGAAGAGGATATAAAAGCTGTTGTTTAAAACCAAAATTTGTCCCGAAACCACATTTCGTAATTCTGTTAATTCAGTTCTCACACCAATTGTCATCATAATCTGTGATGTTCATTTTGGATTATTACTATTGCAAAGTCTTTATATAACCGAAGTTTCACTATTGTATCCACGATTCCGTTAACCCAGACATTTGTTAATCTGATTATTTTCACTGGGAAAAGAACTGTCTGGATTAACAGGGTTTTAACTGTAAAAGGTCCAATTTTGACTCCGAATCAAAACCTCTTTCCATTAAAATCTGAGAAAGCCTCCAATCAGTCTATTTCTTCAGAAGTTCAGAACCATTTGGATCTGCATATCAGATTTTTGTATGTGTAAAAGACTATGTAACCATGCAGTTCGGAATGGAGAAAATAATGACCACGCTATATGTTGTTGATGTTTTACATCCCGTTATATTTTAGTGTAATGGAAAATACAGCCAAAAGGTTGCACAACCGAGGGAACCTTTATGTGGATTTCGTTTTCTTCTGACCGAAAGTTCAGAATCGATGACAAAGGTGGTGAACAATAAAAAGCTGAATTGCTTTAGAAGACAGAAATATTATTGGCGCCAAAACACATCCTTGATTTTGACTGGGCCATCACACTTGGGCAGAGAGGTATCAAATCTGAGTAGAGGATCTGATTTTAATAAGATTATATAATGTTACTTGAATTAAATTTTAAGATATTAATGTCTTTGTCATAATGTTTATATGAACATATTGCTTGAAAGTATTTGTTTTCAAATTTTGTTGAGGATTCTGGCTACAATTGTATCTTGTTAACTCCCAACTTTCTGGGACCATCAGATATACACCTGGGAAAACGTTAAGCGCTGTTGTTTTTTTCTTACTTATCTCCCGAACTTCCATGTCCTTCTTGGAAATACTTATGAAACTGATCGCATCCGATAAATGTCCCACGATGGTAAAGAATACAATGTTCCTACAGATGGCACAAGAACACTATGTTCCTACAGATGGTACAAGAACACTATGTTCCTACAGATGGTACAAGGACACTGTATGTTCCTACAGGTGGTACAAGAACACTATGTTCCTACAGATGGTACAAGAACACTATGTTCCTACAGATGGTACAAGGACACAGTATGTTCCTACAGATGGCACAAGAACACTGTATGTTCCTACAGATGGTACAAGGACACTATGTTCCTACACATGGTACAAGAACACTGTGTGTTCCTACAGATGGTACAAGAACACTTTGTTCCTACAGATGGTACAAGAACACTGTATGTTCCTACAGATGGTACAAGGACACTATGTTCCTACACATGGTACAAGAACACTGTGTGTTCCTACAGATGGTACAAGAACACTATGTTCCTACAGATGGTACAAGAATACTGTATGTTCCTACAGATGGTACAAGAACACTATGTTCCTACAGATGGCACAAGAACACTATGTTCCTACAGATGGCACAAGATCACTATGTTCCTACAGATGGTACAAGGACACTATGTTCCTACAGATGGTACAAGGACACTATGTTCCTACAGATGGTACAAGAACACTGTATGTTCCTACAGATGGTACAAGAACACAATGTTCCTACAGATGGTTCAAGAACACTGTATGTTCCTACAGGTGGTACAAGAACACTGTATGTTCCTACAGATGGCACAAGAACACTATGTTCCTACAGGTGGTACAAGAACACTGTGTATTCTTCTAGATTGTTGCTTGGTCATGTCTGTGTGCTGAACGTCACATTCCGCAGTAGTCCGGATATATGACAGCAGTCTGTAAATCATAGAATCTTTACCAGACAATCCAGTGACTGATATTGTTAACAACGATCCACACCAACTGGTTATGAAGACACTCGATGAAACAAGTCAACAGTTTGACCTCAGACCACCTGATCCATTCCGTTGCCTCTTGACCAGCAGATGTTCCTGGAGACCATTTCTAACCTGGAATCCAATACCAACTGCCATGGTTGGTTGGTTGGTTTGTTGTTTAACGCCGCACTCAGCAATATTCCATATTCCATATATGACGGAGGTCTGTAAATAATCGAGTCTGGACCAG